AAAATATATTTGTGGATATTGTCGCTATTTTACAGACACCTGGCCCACACGTGTCCCGCACGCATCCGTATCACCATTCCATGTAACGAATGGAAATTTACAACTGACACCTCATATCCCCAGCTGTGATTAACACATCGATGTAAAATGCAGTTACCAACTGTGCAGGACTGACTGTATAAACCAAGTCATGTCACTAGAAAATACATATGTGGCGATGAGCATTTTTTATGCTGGCATGAAAATAAATCAACAAATAGCATATTCGCAAATATATACAATTTATTTATCATAATAGCTTTTTTGAAGACATGAATGGTATTTGTAATAATTCCGATTTTTGTCATTTCCACATGTCGTTTCGGTGCTTATTCGATTTCATAGTCCATTTGGGCACGGCAGTTATGTTTCTAGGGTTGTCAGCACCATGCCCGTGCTGGTGGGTGTCACCAAAGTGGTAAATGTCTGAGACCTGCATCACTTCGGGCTTTCCTCCCACATCAAGATGACATGTCGTGATATAACTGAAATGCTGCTCACTCACTCACACGAATTCATAACATGTGTGTAACATAGCAACCTTGAATGTATGAAAACTAGACCGTCAGAGCGTTGTGGTGCTTATTTTCAAACATGTCACATGGAAACAAAACAACGCTAAGATAAGTGCAGTTTCATCGTAATGACTATAGATATAATAAATAAAATAATAAAGTCAACGTTAGTCCATCATCTTCTTTATATCAGTTTCAGACAGAAGATGATGGACTAACGTGGACTTTATTATTTTATTATATATTACATGTACACCGAGTAAACATTTACCTCTTTTTTGTATATATATATATATATATATATATATATATATATATATATATATATATATATAGTAACAATTAAATCAGCGGAGTAAGATTGAACACAGTTTTGTTGTTTAATGCCGCACTCAGCAATATTCCACGGCGGTCTGTAAATAATCGAATCTGGACCAGGCAATCCACGCAATTGGGATACGATGACATACATCAACCAAGTCAGCGATCCTGACCACCCGATCCCGTCAGTCGCCTCTTACGACAAGCATAGCCGCCTTTTACGACAAGCATGGGTTGCTGAAGACCTATTCTAACCCGTGATACCAAATATATCAGATTGATAACACTATCCAGTACATTGTAAATGAAGATTTCCCCTTATATAGACATTATTATCCATGATATCATGATATGTTTATATATTTCTGCACTGTGGGTTTATCGAACAAGACACAATAAGGAGATGTAATGGACATTCCTGGGACATTCTATGGACGGGATGATGCATTTTTTGCAATGATAGCATGGTTGTGTTTAGGTAGCTTGACAGCAAGAAGCCATACTACTGTGCTCCCTATCAGACCGTGTAAGCTTTACCTGATCGATACTTCAGTAACCCGTGCTTGCCGTACGAGGCGACTAAGGGGATCGGGTGGTCAGGCTCGCTGACTTGGTTGATGCATGTCATCGATCCCAATTGCGTGGATCGATGCTCATGATGTCAATCACTGGATTGTCTGGTCCAGAATGGATTATTTACAGACCGCTATCATATACTTTAATATTGCGGTGTGCGGCGTTAAACAACAAACAAACAAAACAAACCTGATCGATAATTGTTTATTAATTATCATTTTATCCAGATTGATGATGCTGTTCTTCTCTTGACCACGCCTGTTTGGTCGGCACTACGCCGTTATAGATCTATTTTCCTGGAATTGTCTTTGTTATATACATCATATGTATGTAAAATATATTTGATAATTTGCAACTAAGTCATGAAATGAATATTTGTTTCCCGAATAGTGCGAATGTTTGTATATCTATGTAAGCTTTTACTGACATTGCACAGTACAGTCTCTATATTAATGCAGTCTGTTGTGTTTCAGGAGACCATTTAATTCTACAGAATAAACCCTGAATTATTTCTATTCTCGTAAGGAGATATCTAGAGTATACCCCAAACCCTGCACCAATAACGAACATATGCTAGTAAAATAGATTTCCATACTAACTAAACACTTATACAAGGTGCATACCTCCAAGAATAGGCCAACTTCATGGTTGATATTAATAATCTTTTCAATTTATCACAGTTTACTGTAGTAGTGTGTGGGTTAAAATTTAACGTCACATCGACAATATTTCAGCCATATCGTGAGGAGAACTTAGACATTTATAGTAAATAGAATTAGTTTACTGTAGTAATGTCAAGCGTGTGTCACACAGGTAGGGCAGGTCCAGTTTCGCGAACACCTGGTGTCATCACTATCATTCTTGAATATGTCGCCTTGTTATTGCTCAAGACTTATGTTTTTGTTGTATGAACGGTATTTCAACATAGATTGTTGCAGTGCGTCCCCCTGACACGGTGACACACCCAGCTGGTAGGGGCTTCCCCGGGACTCGCACGTTCCTGTGATCACGTGACCATCTGGATACAGACAGCACGTGGCTTTTTCATAAAACGTACCCGTTTTCGAATATATGTATAGTTATTATTTTTACTGTAAATAACTGGGATCTAAAGTGGCATTTACAAACACCGACCAGGTCTTTAACCTTTAGCTATGATATCCTCTTCTTAATAATTCAATCGCCAATTAATTAGGTTCTATCTATCTATCCATCCATCCATCCATCCATCCATCCATCCATATAAAATTTAAGCACACGAAACATAATTTAAATCATGTATATGTAAAAATGAAATGTTGATCTGAAAAAGTAAACAAATTAACTAAAACATCGTAAATCAAATCTCTTATAATTACTTTTAAACTATTCATTTAAACGGATTGCGTAAAGTATTTGTCCGTTGAAATTTGAATTTGTCTTCACATGTCTTCAATGTGGATATTGCTTCCGCCTACAAACACTGCACACACACACACACATACTGTTTATAATGTTTATGTCAGTGGCGACGGATGGGCGTTAATGCCCATTATTACCGAGGTGCTAACTATAGCCTCATGCGCTGATGCCTGGACTACCGGCGTTATGTTGTGGGAGGTAATTGGTCTAGTCCTCAAATACCTAAAGTCCTAAAATACGTGCCTTACATACACCCCTTTAAAGTATAGGGCGGTCGGGTAGCCTAGTGGTTAAAGCGTTGGCTCGTCACGCCGAAGACCCGGGTTCGATTCCCGACATGGGTACAATGTGTGAAGCCCATTTCTGGTGTCCCCCGCCGTGATATTGCTGGAATATTGCTAAAAGCGGCGTAAAACCATACTCACTCACTTTAAAGTATATCTAACAAATACTCAGTTACTACAACATAAATTACGGTTATGATATCTGTGATCATACTAATCATAACATGGAAATCGTGCTATAGGTGGTGGACACCAGGTGTCATCAGTGATTTACAGTGATCCAATAATACATTCTTCACCCCTAATCTGCCGTTCACGCCCAATGGAATCTGCCTATAGTCGAGATTGGTTATTCTCTTGACGTTTTATATTTAACACAGTTTACAGATATCAGTATCAATGTATGTTTTTCTGTCATCCAATTATTATGTATGTGGCAGTTATTACACTTTTTATCAATTACGATATCCATTTTACCCAGAAAGTACAAAGTTGACACATTTTGAAATAGAATTCAGTAAATACATGCTGCGTTATACAGCTGCAAGATACCATATTACATATCTAAAATAATGCTCTCTGTTTTTCTTTCATTGATACAAATTATTAACTGACAATTCCTATCCGAAAGCCTTGAGACATATTAAATGGTATCGCTACCAATTATAAGAAACCTTGTCGCAATAGGCGATTAAGAGGATCGGGTGGTCATGGTGACTGACTTGGCTGACGCATGTCATCGTATCCCAATTGCGTAGATGAATGCTCATGATATCAATCACTGGTTTGTCCGGTTCAGACCAGATTATTTCCAGACTGCCGTCATATAACTGGAATGTTGCTGAGTGGGGCGTTAAACAAACAAACCACACGTAAACGATGAAGGCGATGCGGGGCAGTTTCAGAAACCCTACTGACGACCTGGTAGCATATGTATATAGCATGGACTAAACCATCATTACTCTTACACTTTCATCATATTTCCAACTTAAGACATTTTACTTGAAGATGAAATATAGTCTCTAGAAATACAGATGTTTGTATTTGCCGCGGAAGAGTAATTTTTCCTTGCAATGTAATAATTATTTGTCGATTAACAACATATGTGAAAAACTATCCCGTCAATAAAATTTATATCAATTTAATTGAAAAATCGCTTACGACAGTTTACTTAGTTACGTAATGTTTACCTATGATCAAAGGACCAGTTCGGCATTGTTCTCAATGACCTTGAGAGCGTCATAAATGCCCCAGCAAGGCCGTCATCATGGCAATGTTTTTTCAAGGTTTAAACATAATCCCATATGCTTCGATTTTGAAAATAACATCATGCACGACTAATGTTTTGATCTATTTAGTATTTAATATTTTGAAATTCAAAACTTGTCACCTTTTAATCATTATATTATGACAATATTACAAGGATGACAAATGATTTTGGATGTCCAATGCTGCCATACACTAAAATTACATACCAAAATTTTTTTTATAGTAGTTAATTTTATGAAGTATTCTCCATCGTTTTATTCATATAATCAAAGACAAGTTGACATTAAGTCTCTAAATGTCGGTGATATAAATGTTGCTACTGTCTGAGATTTTGCCCCAATAACTATGATAAACTGACTCCCCCTGTAACCAAACTCCAGCACTGCCACCATCAGGACATGCTGCCGTAGTTAGCACCTCACTGTTAATATACACCGTCCCCGACACCCTCAGATGGTCACTGATTGGTCAGTCGGGTCACTCTAGCACACTATAATTGACCTGGAATGAAATAAAATTGACATTCTGAAGATTGAACTTTAAACAAGCTGGACCTCTTTATCTGTATCGAAAATGACTTCAACTTCATTTAAGACAGAAAGCGGGAGTGATCATCTTGAGATCCATGAAAGTAGCAGAGTATATGGAAACGGTTTGGACAAAATGGAAGAAAAGGCCAGACTTCATATTGAAAATCTGGGCTCTACATCATTCGACACATTAGATGAAGAGCAGGATACAGGGTATTTGTCTGATTCTTCTGCGTTGGAAGATTTACCCACGAGACGAGGCCGGAAACGAAAGGACATGTGTCCGGACGATGCCGAGAAGAAACGAGTGACAGCGAACTTCCAAGAACGACAGCGCATGCTTACTCTCAACAGTGCTCTGGACCGACTCAGAGAATGTCTTCCTGATCAGTTCAAGGTTGGAAACCGTAGAACCTCCAAAATCCGAACCCTCCGGCTGGCTGCCAGTTACATCCGAAGCTTGGGAGACCTTTTAAAACAGGATTCGATCATCCGTGAATCAATGCCACCACAGCCGGGATTCGACCCTCGAGTTCCATGTCTGAACGACGTCAACAGACAGGGGGATGGCGGGGAGATCTACACACCTGAGAAGGACATTTCCTTCCCCCAGCAACAGGAGGCCCTGACCCACACAACGCCCGACTACAGGTACCCGTTCTATGGACATCATCAGTTTGGTTCAAGCCCCCACTTCAACTACAGCAGCCACACGACGCCCTCATCACTGCAGCAACATCCGGCGTTCTCACAACATCCTCTACAGTATCTCCCTATGTATCCCCCGCAGTTCTACCCCCCGGGACTCCATCACCTCCCACCTGCGATCATAGGGGAACCCGTCAACCAGCACCTTCGGTAAAGCGGTGAGTATTAGTATAATTAAGTTCAGTAAAATGAAATCATTATTCTATTATGGATTTAACGTCAAGGTCAAGAAATTGAGCAGTTATAACTGCTTGTTAGCTTTGTAAGTTTTTTTAAATGGATGAAACTGTTTTGCATGTATATCACAGACGTGTTATATGGGTATTGTTATAAGTTATGAGCTCCGTTTGTGCTTTCTGACACGTAAGCGTTTACATGATTTAATTTACCTTCGGTAAAGAGGTGAGTGTACCTTGCACTATGTTGAATTATATCCAGTATATAGGATACATTTATGGAGTACATATAGCTTCTTCTAATGTCTAGATGTAAATTAAACACTGAACGTGTACCCGGGGAAATTCCTTAAGGTTTAGTTATAAAGCGTATTACATATACAGAGGTTCACTAGTGGTTAGTCAACTTGTAATATAACCTAAAATAGTTAATCCCGTTAAAATAAGAGTAATATATATTCTCCTCACAACAATAATAGGCAAACTATTGTGCTGACGATAGTAGTGATTAAAGGCTGTTAACTGGTTTAATGTTTGATAAATGTAAAACGATTTAATGGTTTTGGCGAACCTTCTAGCGACAACACGATGTGTTGAAAAAGGAAGAAATCATTAAGTGTATTCTCTCTCGTCTTACAGGTGCTGATGATTTACTTAAGACACTGCCAACGTTCGAATTAGGTGCTACCCCAACTTCCAGACAGAGTAGGGCCGTCGGTTGGTCTGGCGGTTAAAGCACTGGCTCGTCATTCCGAAGTCCCATGTTCAATTCCCCCATGGGTACGATGTGTGACCCCCATTGTTGGTGTAGCCTCTGCGATATGGCTGGAAGATTGCTGACAGAGGCGCAAAACAACATTCATTCATGAAAGACACTACAGATCTTGTATGCAGGCACAGGAGTCCGTATCTAAAATAGACGCCCTCATGCATATTCATGACCATCTCCGCACGCGAGCCCGAGGGCGTCTATTTTTAGATACGGACTCCTGTGATGCATGTCCGTTCCAGGCGATGGACAGTCGTATGTTATATGTATATATTTGATCATTTACCAATATAACAGAATAAAAATATTAATAAGAAACAGTCCGTTTTGTTTTCATTCTTCATAATTAGGGCCCAGTTGCATCATTGACATGGCAATGTATAGGTGACCATTAAGACCATTGTTTACGGGACTGGGAATGATAAAAACAACAGCTTTACAAAAGCATTAGAGCCATACGTCGTTAAAGATGCTCAATACAGGGAAGGTTTTGCATTTATCATTTCTTATGTGACCTCAAATTAACATTTTTAAGTGACAAGATCTCAGAATGCAACACTGTAATGCTTCACTTGGGGTGTTCTTCCCATAAGCTGCCACGCCGTGATATAACAATAATATTTACATATTGGTGTCGGTAAAATATGGTACAATACCTAGGCCAACCGCACCACCCCCTTTTTCAAAATGACCAGTTATCTTATAATCAGGTTATGCTGGCTATGCCAAAGTTGAGTGGCGGATGCTAACGGTAGGACAGAACATGCTTACCCTTTTCGCGAACACCTGGTGTCATCACTGATTTTCAGTGATCCATTCATATCATTTTACACTCAATGGAATCAGTGGACAATCAAGACTGGTTATGCTCTGGCGTTGACGTTTTATATTAATACACTACAAATTTGAATTAATATATATATCTTGTACCCTTACCCTGGGTAAATATCACCACCTGCAAGGATGCCAAAGTGTGCATACACTCCAGGGAACCTTTTTGGTTCATCAACTAAAACCGCTTTCGCAGCATTAAACCGTTTCAGTCGTGACTCATCTCAAAGGCTATTTTGGGTTGTTAAGTGACACATTACGCTAATAACAGCTTGAATCTTGAATCATCACAAAACATATTTTGGGGTAGGAAGTGAGTTTCTTCGTCCGCGTATAATATTTGACATTTAACCACTTTTATCGCTTTTTATCAAATACCTATCAATGTTATGAGGCATTTTGCATGTGCGATTAGGCCAACATACAAACGGTCATATCACATGGGGTGTAGTTACCAGACCCGTATTACATCCGTGCCGGGAAGATACATTTGTCATTGCATTTTGAATGGGCGACAGATGTCAGCCGAGGTGGTAAGAAATTGGAGTTACCTCCCTTAATGTGTCGTCTGCTCGCCTAGCTTTCCGGTGACCATGTTTCCAAGGAAGGTGAAAATGGATTAAATTAACTAGAATTGTGGAGCTATATGCAATCTTGGACAAAACAGAGGACAGTTTTAAAGAAACAGGGACCTGGATGTTTTTTGGAACAAAATGAATGACAAGAACAAGGTACGTGAAACCGGCAGGGACAAGCTATTCAGGACATTGGTCAGGACATACACGGAATTGATGGATGTTTTATGAATGGATACATTTGACAGTTCGACCTTTTTATGTATATGATATAAAGGGTATTATATGGCAGTTTTCATTTCATACTCCATATCAGCCCTCTACCCCCGCATCAACCCTCTCTAGCTTTCGGCCCTCGGGCTGGTACGGAATCACGTGTTGATATGGTGTTTGGCATGAGTGAGTGAGTGAGTTGGGTTTAACGCCGCTTTTGACAGTATTCCAGTTATATCACGGCGTGTCAGCTTAATGTGGGAGGAAAGCCCGAAGTGATGCAGGTCTCAGACGTTTACCAGTTCGGTGAAACCCACGAGCACAGGTATGGTGCTGACAAACCCAGAAACATAATCGGGGCGAACCGGGATTCGAACCCACAGTCATAGGTTTTTAACGTGCCCATGGGAGCAACTCATGCCCCCTTATTTTTTGTCACAAATGGGGAACTAAAAATAAAACTAATCGTGCAGTGACACAAATTTGATTTGCCAAAAAGGTATGTGTTCCCAAATAATTCAGTCGTCTCTGTAGATAGCTTGCAGGGATGTTATGGTATGTCTTCAGGACGTTGTGCGGTTCATGTTTACATTCGGTGCATGCTGTATTCATACGCACCTTGCTCACTTTTTAGGGACACTAGACATGGTTTAACTTTATCAATATTTTGGACAGATAAACACAATGGCAGCATAAATTAAAAAATATCTTTAAGATATTCACTACATTGTTTACAAAAAGCTTCAACCGCATTTGTTTACTTTAGAACGTCTACATTTCTTTAATTTTGAGATCACTGTAACCTGTTCTAAACTTTGACAAACTTCTACGTAGTGAGATATGTTTGATGCAATGTAAATATAATTCCGGTTGGAGAAGCTACAATATGTTTCTGAAGAAGAACTGTTATTGATCCTTGGTGTCTATTTTTATACATAATTATCTTGCAATCTCTGAGTAAATATTGACATATAAACTTTAACATCACCAAATTCTTGTACCATCCACAGACTATTTCTGACAACTAATACCCAGTTCGGGTTTGCGCCACGTCTTGAACGGTATCCTGTCATTATCATAGCTGTCATTTGAAAGTGCGTTTGTTGCTGACAAAACCAGGAAACATTAATGTGGTGAGCTTTAACCAATGGTTATAGGATTCTGGCATGCCCAATAGACACAAATATGCAGAGTGCATGTGACTCACACGTAGAGGTGCATTTTATGACATGCTATTTCAAAACGTCAAAGTCTTTGTCATAATACAGTATTCGTACTTATGAGGCAAAAACAAATTGAAGAGAAAAAAATAATATAAGACGCTCCTACCATGTGACATAACAAGGCAGATTCAGTTGACGTGAGCAGGTTGACCAAGCACCTTGTTCCCTCGGAGTAATAGTTTTTCTTTATCAGGATTCTATGATATTTCTGAAAGGAAATGTATGTTCTATTATTCATTAATACCGCAATATACGAGAATAGCTTCAAAATTGTTGAATAGGCGTAAAGTATAAGCTCTCACTAACTGTTGACTAACATTTATATACAGTTGTCGATGTCAACGAGATCACGCTGATAACATAACAGTTATATTACCGAAACACTGCAATAAGTGCTAAGTCGTGTCAATATGTCAATGTCACATTTATCTATGCTTAAAAACAATTAGGTGACTATGAAACAAGGGATATATTTAAACCGGTCCAACTAAGTTTCGAGGTTAATGAAGTTCGTGTCAAATCCTTTGGACAGCCGGGGTTTGCAAGAAATATTAATATAAATTTGGGTCGTATCGGAAGTACCCCGATGAATCCTTGAAGTAGGTCATATTATCAGTTTCTAGTATGCAGTCACAGAGGTAATGCCCTAAGGATCTGAAATATGTATTTGGAACTTGGGGAAACGTTTTGCGCACACTTCGGCCAACTGAAATGGACTTTTAAAAAAAATAAAAAATTTAACTCTTTGTCCTATCCCCCCATCCCCGGCCTTTATTTGCCTGTATTGCGATTACTACCATACTGTTAGGGGTTTTCGACATTGCCCTTGAAGTATAATGGGTTTATGATAGACAGTTTTAATCACAGAAAATTTAGATGGCTGTATGCTATGAAGTCATTATTAAGGTGGTTTTGATTTATTTTTGTGATTCTGTCGAATGCACATTTTCAAGAGCTTTCCAAATATATTGTGACGAGCCCCTACTGTATTATGGTCAGAAAGTATGTTTGAACCCGGTTTGGACGTGCAGTGGTTAGATGCACACGAACAACATTTACGATCATTGCACATGTACAAACAACAACCCGAAAACAATATGAGCAAATGTGGCGGCCAAATGATGCATTCATTTCACCCGTTTGTCATGTGGACCTCGGATTAGACATATTTCCAAGATGAATATCTTTTGGAATTACTGTTCCTTCGTGTCGTGTCAGATCTATTAAACGTGCTTTAACCGGCAAACACTTACATTAACCGATAATCACTAACCCCTTGATTACGAAATTTACCGTATTAGGAAATTATTACATTATAATGTTCCTATCCGTCTTTGTGTCTCCATAGCGTACACTCCCAGTCTTTCCTCACGGTGGCGAGAATAGCTCATTCAGCTTTATGTGATAGGGCGACGCCACTGGCAATTCCTAAAAGAGCCGTGTGTCGTATAGACATTCTTGAATGGCCACTGTTATTCTACAGTAACTACAATTGTACATCGCTATGCTATTAACAGGTGTTTTCACTACCCCTCGACTGGAACAAATGCATAATCCTGTCAATGGATGCATTCTCCACCAAGGCGGTGGGGCAGCACAGTGATTTAATTTTTTTGAATGTTCAGTTACCAACATGTGTGAAGCCGTTTCACGTTGTAACGACAGCTGCATAAATCCTGCTCATTTTTTGATCCCTAACATAACAAAAAAAGACGGATTTCACCGTTTGGCGCACACCTGGTATCATCACTATTTGATAGTGATTCACAAATACATGTTCATGGTATAGTCGGACTCGTAAATCGACAATGCTTTTGGCAGATATTTCTTGTAAACATGGAAGGAGTTTGCTCGCATTTTGTTTATAATACAGTAAAGTACGGTTATAAAGAACTCAAAGGGACTACTAATTTTAGTTTGTTATAACCGTAGTTCGTTATAAGCATATATACAGCATAACTGAAAGCATATAGTCGGGACCCAAAAAGTAAGTTCGTTATATCCGTCAGTTCGTTATAAGCGTGTTCGTTATAACCGTAGTTTACTGTACATGAATATGACCATGAACAGTCATTTGGATAACTTAACATAACTTACCACCAAATCAGCTGAAATGTCTCGGACATATATTTATGGTGACTGTATTAACCTTTAAACAGAAAATAACAGTGGCATGTTAATGTGGGCTTGTCATTTTGTAGATAAGCGACAAAACCCTTTGCATATTTATAAGAAATCACTGCCCAAGGCAGAGTCGATTGTACGAGTCCGACTATTGTATGATATCAAATAGTGATGATACCAGGTATTCGCAAAAAAACGTGAACGATTCCTGCCAAACTTGTAGCACCTTTCACAAACACATGCAGTGGCAAGTCAATTGTTCACCTAAAAAAACCAAAGTCAAAACAGGGAATTGCATCGGGCACTGGTGCGTCAAATTTCGAATTGTCCTCCATGTGCCTGAGGCATTGCATGTTGTAACCTGGACCAAACAACGCTTGAGCAAGATTCGTCTTAGGCTCTTTGAAAGAGTTATGTTTCTACGTTTGTCAGCATTATACTCATTCTCGTTGGTTTCAGTGCAGTAGTAAACGTCTAGGCTCTTTCTCACTTATGGCTTTCCCATCAATACCTTTCTAAAGGCTACATATCTGAGAGTCTACGGATGATTGAACAACTATACAAGTATAACAAACCCCTTGCAGTATTCATAGATACAATGTATGAGTAAAGAATGCAATTCAAATGTTTCACTTCAATACGCATGCAAGTTCTCAGCCAATCCCCTATTCCAATGAAAGACCGGTGATATAAGAGGAAACGCTGACCATGAATAGTCAGAACGACGCATTGACAGGCTGACGGTAAACGTATATCAGGCAAGTACATTTACATGTATCCAGTTCTTTCCTTATTCAAATATGAACATTTAAAAAAGCCTTTAAGTAAAGCCTTTTTAATCTTGAGACTTTGGTTTAGATACGTAAATATAAAACGTCAAAGCCAGAGAGAAACAAGTCTCGATTATCCCCCGAAACAGTGAAAATCATTGATGACACTAAGTGTTCACAAACGTGCTGTTCACAACTTCAGCTACAAAGACAGTCACTGTCACATGAACGTTTGGTTAATATCACGGATAGGATAAAGTTCCAAACACCATGAATTATTATCTGCGCCACCTTGCAAATGTTCTTTTCTTCCAGAAACCAAAGAAAGATGAACATTCTCCAAACAAAGGTAAAATGAATACTTATTATGAATATACTATACATGTATGTATGTAGAACGCAAGGAGAGTTTGTCAGTTCATATTTGAATCATATTTTCGTAGATGTGATATTGCACGTTTCATATTCCATTCACTGTGAATTAATGATCACACCAATGCTCTTCAGGCTCAGTTTGACCAGATGCTGGCAGCCAATCCGGGGAAACTGATCGTCGTGGACTTTTTCGCAACATGGTGTGGGCCGTGTAGAGACATTGCACCTTTCCTTGAGGTACAATATGTCTACATGGGCGGGCGACGTTGAAAATAATTGCCCGCTCCTTAATCAATCAGAAGCTAGTATTTTAATGTTAGGTGATATAATATTGCCGGTCAGCTATGTCGTCTACTGTTGTCTATAAGTTGCAGATTAATCTACCCACGATCGGATGTTGTGAACCACGCGCTTCTCAAAGATGTTTTAATGTTCAGACATAATTTCGATATATGTATACATCCACAATTAAACCTTGAAGCATTGTACACAACATGAGTTTAAGAATATTTATTTATTTACTGCAGTCTCTGTCGGATAAATATGACCAAGTTGTGTTCTGCAAGGTCGACGTTGACGAAAATCAGGTAAAACTTACCTCCCCTTTTCACATAATTAGGTAATTACTAGTATATAGCTTCCATTGATAACTTTTAGTATAATACATTTTCATTTGCTTACATATAGACTATTGACATACGTTAATTGTCTCTCTTTTGTCCGAATCCCCCCTCAAACAAATTATTCATTATATGACAAAAGAATGTTCAAATTAAACACCAAATTTAACAAGGTATTAAACTGTGAAAATACAATCTGACTCAGAATATTTGTAAAATGTAACGCTTGCACACGGTGATGTTATAACCATTGTGCGATGAATGAGCCGACCTGTATAATCACAAATGTCTCTTATGTTCATGTCAGGATACGTCAGAGGAGTGTGGTGTTGATTGTATGCCGACGTTCAGGTTCTACATAAACGGAATAGAGGTATCTCACAAAAACGGCTATCGATCGCACATTCTGAATACTATTCAATTTAGCTTTGTGCTCACAGAATTATTCTGTCTCAAATAAATTTATATTTAGGCAACTTTAATAGTAGACTTTCCTAAACAGTATATACATTGTATCTTCGTTGGAAACTGATTTATTTAATGCACTCTGGGATAAACTGTCGGCTGGATATTCTAATCCAGGTAGAGTGAGTGAGTATGGTTTTACGCCGCATTAGCAATATTCCAGCAATATCACGGCGGGGGACACCAGACATGGGCTTAACACATTGTACCCATTTCGGAAATCGAACCCGGGTCTTTGGCGTGACGAGCGAACGCTTTAACCGCAAGACTACCCGACCGCCCCTATATCCAGGTAGAGAACTGAAATGACATGTGACTTGACTAGACTATTCAGATACCACATGTGGTTGTTACATTCCATGCATGTCTCGAGTCAAAGATGTTCACGAATGTATGTTCAGGATAAGTAGATGAAACATTGCAAATGATGCATCGTGTGAAAATGATGTCATAACATTGTTGACGAAACACAGACATAATTCATGACGTAATTTGTAGCGCGGCAACACGAGACGAGGATCTCTTATTCCGATATATATGGTCCTCAATGTAGAACATGCGACATATTTCTGTATGACAGCAAGTTATCAAATATGGATAATAACGAAATTTTAAGGCTTGGAAGTGTGTGACACAATTCATATACCACATGATCATGTAATAATATCTGAATCTCTACCTTCCACAGGTGGACTCTCTGGAAGGAGCTGACAGAGAGAGACTGGAGAGCAAGATAGTCAGCAACCTGTGATGTTCTTTGTTGTGATCACGCGAAGGAAGTTGTCCATATTTGGAGAAAGTAGACGATAAACACACGTGAATTAGTGCGTGCAAGCAACACCATTGGTACATGTACGCAGTAGAGTGTAGAAGAAATTCAATGCTGTTCAACTAATCGGCACGCGTTTAAACAACATGTAGTTCATGGTAATAAACATAATGTTAACTGATGTAGTGTGGTTATTCCTTGGTATTTGGAGTGTGGCCTCTATTTAAATGAAAAGGTATCATCACAAAGTCTATGACATTAGAATTTGAATCATGATACACGTACATTACAAATCAGCAAGCCTTAATGACTTTCGTGGTTTGGTGTCGACACAGTGACTACAGTATGTGCCTGTCGAATGGTGCAGTCGTTGTCTAAGACGTCTCAAATAGCTGTACAGAGCTGCAGCGTCAGGCGTGCCAACATCCAATGGTAAATGGTCTGAATCTCGGGTTCGACCAGGAAATGACCTCTGGTTTATCAAGCATCAGACCTGAGCTTGTGGGTTGCACCAAAATCGTTAACGTTTAAGACGTGAATCACTTCGGCCTTCCTTCTACATTCAGCCGACGTTCTGTTCAAAGTCAAACCGGAATCACTCACAAGGCTAGTTGTTAAAGTGTTGACATAGCTTGGTGTTAAGCCCATTTCGTCAATCAATTCCGTTTATCAACCTGCATATTTCAGCATAGACTCAGTTTTCAAAAAGAATATTACACAATGCCTTTCTAAAGGCAACATATTCAGCCGCCTAAGGATGATTAAGCATGCATACATGCACACACTCTTAGTGGTTGATATGGATTTTGTGTAAGGAATATTTGGCTAAGCTGCATTTCATATGTTTCTTTTCATTATTTCGTTTTTATGCAATCGTAAGTCCAGTATTAAGGATTCTTTAGAAATCAACGTGTATCGAAGAAGAGAACGCGGAAAAGGAACTGGACACCTGCGTTCTAAATAGTATTATACTCATTTTCACAACACACGTGTCAGAATTTACGCACAATGTAACTGCGACATCTGGTTCCGGTTAAAATATTTCCGGATTATTGAATCATTGATACATCGCCCTGCTCAGCTCTGTCAAATACATCGCTATTAAATTTTTTGTTGGTTATATTTTGAGCCACCGTCACACTATGGTGTATACTTTCGTCTGTCCGTCAATTTACATTTAGACTCGTACCCCTTACTAAACAGATACTAGGGCGTTATAATGCGTGGCATATCTGTACGGTTGTGCAAGGAAAATCGACACATTCATGCTGTACACATATCAAGTCGTTCAACCCAGATTCATGTCCATGGTTTAATGTCACACTGACTCACTGCTGCTGAATAGTTTTTACAATTGCATTAGTATTGCATGATTGAAAATCAGCACGTTTATAAAAGTGAATACCCTTGTATATTGTTGTGAGTGCTGTTGTATGAATGTAGTCATAAAGGACCGATTAGTTCAGTGAATGAATACTCCCAGCTTGTGTGGAACCTGTTAGGTTACATTTTAGTAACTGGCTCCCATGTATTGGTAGGAAAGCTGAGCTTTCATCTATGCGATATGTTTACCTCGTAAAAAGGACTCAGGACAATGTTTGGCAACAATAAAGTAATAGTGTGCATGGGATTAGCGCGTCGTGTAAACGCATTCCGATACACTAAGGTACACACTCAGATATAGGCGACCCTCTTGCGTGAACATGTAAGTGAGAGTATTTTTTTTATCAATCCATAAACGTTTAATTGTAAATTTCTCTTTAAATCCGAAATTTTGATTACTAATATTCACCCATGTTACATGTTGTTATTGGTTTAATAACTATGTGATCTAGCTTTAACATAGAATATGGATATACAGACAGTAAGAAGTACAAAGCAATCCTACAAGAAGGCATGTGCTACACTCGTCTCCATTTCAAGCTAAGGGCTACGGGTGGCCCAGTCGTCTGAGTCGCCTCAATTAGCTATGTAGAGTTTGGACCCAAAGGCGTGCCGGAAACCAATTATCTTTCAATTACTGGGTTAGTGAACCCTGACTCGGTGTCTAGGTTTGTCAGCACCATACCCATGGCCGGAGGTTTCACCAAAGTGGTAAACATTTGTGACCTGCATCGACTTGGGCTTCCCCCTTACGTCAAGTGATATAGCTGGATATGTGAAACCCAACTTTACTCACTGACGCCATATTCAGCTACATCATGTCCACGTATGATGTCCAGTTTCTGTGTAGTATTGGGCGTTGATAATGTAACCATGGTAACAGTTAATTGCTTTATTGAATACAGTACAATGTACCTCGTTGTCTTAAACCTATGCCCGCCTTCGTTGTCAAGTTGCTATGGCATCATGCCAATATACGCTTAACTATGGTACTTGTTGTTACCCTGCCTGGCGCTAAACCGAGGCACGGTAGCTCATTGGGCTAGCACGATTAAACCGGCATTAGTCCAGGCCAGTACAAGCAGCCACACACACGCTAATACACACACACACGCACACACACAAGCACGCGCGCACACACACACACGCACGCACGCACGCACGAACGCACGCACACACGCACACAAACACACGCACACACCTGAAAGTCCATTACATATCACCTCACCTCTCAAACCTATTCCTATATATATAAAGATATAACTCAATACCAGAATCGTTGGATTTGTCATTGTTTTCAAAGGTTATACGGTATCCTAGTTTCCACGTAAGAAATAGGGAAAGTATATTTCATTCACGATGATTTGTCTAAACTGTAAACTATGTTTCAGCATCACCAGCTACTCATGAGAAGATGAGATGCATAAGGACACGGGTGAGATATTGAGAGATAAATAGCATTCCTCTTGGCACTTACAGCAGCTCGACACACTCTTCAGTAGCTTGATGTAACATGTCGATGTGGTTCTAAAGTTAACTCACTGACCCAATTCTGAGTAATGGGAAGAACGGATCCCGAACAACTATTTTTAAATACAGTTAGCGAAAACAATGATTAGCTTGCTGCATCACATCCTCTGTATCTCTGGGCTTCGTGTTTCAGTCAACCAACACTAACGAGTGGTTCTCGCGATCTCAAATTTCAAAGTTTTTAATGTTGAATTTCTTGCACCCGCTATCGTAATCTGTCGGATTGGTGTAGATATTGCAAACCCAACACCGAGACTGGTTTGTACCTCGCATTCTGATTGGTCCGTTAGACTGAGTAACGTAGCAAATCAATTTGATTAATGGCCACGTGGATGGATACCGAAAGACGAGCCCTGGGCATATAGAGGATGTAGGTATCATGTTTTCCAGTGACATACGTGGAATAATCTTGAATATAGAAACCAGTCCTGCTGTTCGAGGATTGAGCTATATAAGTGCATATCAACGTAAACTAATTAATTGTAATACATAGACATATAATGTAACACGTCCATTGAGATGCTATAAGATAAATGCAGACTCAATTCTCGCCGGATGCCTTAAGTAAGACTCGTAAGTATGTATGACGCGTTTTTAAAGTGTGACACATATCAATGTCAATAAGTGCACCTGACTATATTGGCAGAGAGACTTTGACGAATCACTGTCAGTCAACCATGGCAAGCTGGTAGTCGTGGACTTCTTTCGAGATGGGTGCCCGGCGTGTAAGGAAATGTCGCCTTTCCTTGAAGTAAGTATCATTGTCGTCACATTTCGAGGCCACAATCACGAAATATACTATCGTCAGTGTCAATGAATAAGCTTCTGAACAGTTATATTACTTTACAAATGGTTAAAAACAACATCTTTTGAAAACCATCTGTCAAGTTCATTTTGAGTGTCACATTCTGTTCTGTGCTGTGATCAATTATTTACCCATTAGTTACGAGAATCTGAGAAAGAATGGAACGATTCTACACATTTTGCAGTCCTACATAAGACTGTGTACAATAGCGAAATAAGTCCGCCTTCTTTGCAGGGGGCGCGGTCGGGTAGCCTAGTGGTTAAAGCGTTCGCTCGTCACGCCGAAGACCCGGGTTCGATTCCGACATGGGTACAATGTGTGAAGCCCATTTGTGGTGTCCCCCGCCGTGATATTGCTGGAATATTGCTAAAAGCGGCGTAAAACCATACTCACTCACTCACTCACTCATTCTTTGCAGGGCATAAGTGGTAGCTGCACATTATTTATAAAGGATGCGGATGTAGCTGAAAATGGTTACTTCTTCTTGCAGTTCTTGTCGCAGGACCACACCTATCGCAATATTGTGTTCCAGAAAGTAAACGTCGACGTGAACCAGGTAACCAGGGTTATCTCCCTTTACAATTTACTATTTGATAGTGATTCATAAATACATGTTCATGATATAGTCGGAATTGCACAATCAACTCTGCTTTATGGATATGGAAAGGGTTTTGTCGCTTTATTTACTGACGTGTTTTAGGCGGAAGATTATTCAAAACATTCCGAAATTCATACACCGGCAGGCAGGCAGGCAGGCAGGCACGCACGCACGCACAGAGATGTGTTGTATCTGAATCCTTACTACTTGTTAGTGGAACTATTGTGACCGGTTCATTTATCCAAAACAGGTGACCTTTGACCTAATTAACCTGACCCACGGTGCTATAACCTCAATACCATTCGACCAAACTCTGACTTCACTCTTCTCTGTATCAGGAAACGGCGACAGCATGCAGCGTCACCCTCCTCCCCACCTTTAAATTTTACAAGAGCAAAAGAGAGGTAGGTTCAGTTTGTCACAAATACTATCCATTTGTACAGCAACGTCCCGTGGTAATCCACGGAAGAATTACATCCACAGTAACTCATACTTGAGGACTTGACGACACAGGACCTGGTGGTCAGACGTGGTCAGGCGTGGATCGTTGCTCGTACTTTCAGTCACTGGTCTGCGTCGTTAACACAAAATTCACTCCTATGTCATCCAGTGCATTTTGGATGTGGATGTGCACATTACTTTTTTATATCAATCTTTGTAAAGTTATTTGTACGTTATCTCCATATTCTCCCAAATCAACATCATGTTTCATGTTTTATTATCTGACTTCCGGTGGTCACCACTGTATTGACTCCCATGTCACGACCCAGCACGAACCTTTTGCATAGTTACATTGGCACTTCCTTCCTGTTCATTCTTCTCAATGTTTTCAGGTTGACCAACTAGAAGGAGCAGACCAAAAACAACTTGTTGCAAAGATACAGAAACACATGTGATCTATTTGTGAGACGTTTCAACGTTTATACAGTTGGCTACCACATGGCAATATACATACACTGGTGAGGCGGGATCAAGAGATAACACACGAACGTCGCATCGAATGCTGGAAGAACCCGGTGATAGAAGCATGTTCCTCTACAATGGGGGCGATGCCAGCACTATTGTTGAGACTTCACGTTTCATGACTCTAATCAAGGGGACCTTCTGTAGTAGGAAGACGTAAGAGGCAATATATGTGTCCGCCTCTGTTGTATAATAAAACATTTGCGAAGAGCTGTATGGTTGCGTTTTATATCTTGCAATTATAACAGAGGATGTTTGGCCTCTGATAAAGATACGAATGTCCGGCCATACCTATAAAGCCGATTTGTTAACAAGAATTATTTCACATCACGGTTCATGATAATTATGTTCTAATTTGTATCTCGAGTGTTAATGTTATTATTGCATCGGTGCATCGTTTACATGTTTAAACTCTGCAACATGTTCATGTTTGTTTGTTATCGGACGATTTAATTGGAAACGGTACAGGATTAACGGGGTTTAAGAATTCTAACACAAGTGTCGTGTGAGTGAGTGAGTGAGTGAGGTTATGGAAAGAGTACTAAGTTTGGGATAAGAGACATTTTGATGGTGACGTCCCTTTCGAACGAAGCAGGGTATGTATCATTATAGAATGGAGATACAGTATCCTGGAAAACCGAGGATGATATCACTGTAGTAACATCATACATGTTCAGCGTCTGCCAATCTGTGTCCATCTGGCATATTATACCTTGGAAAACCGGGGATGATGTTGATGTATCATAATACATCTTCAGCGTCTGCTAGTCGATGTCTATCTGACATATTATACCCTGGAAAACCGAGGATGATATTGATGTATCATAATACATCTTCAGCGTCTGTCAGTCTGTGTCTATCTGACATATTATACCCTGGAAAACCGGGGATGATGTTGGTGTATAATAATACATGTTCAGCGTCTGTCAGTCTGTGTCTGTCTGACATATTATACCCTGGAAAACCGAGGATGATATTGATGTATCATTATACATCTTCAGCGTCTGCTAGTCGATGTCTATCTGACATATTATACCCTGGAAAACCGGGGATGATGTTGGTGTATAATAATACATGTTCAGCGTCTGTCAGTCTGTGTCTGTCTGACATATTATACCCTGGAAAACCGAGGATGATATTGATGTATCATTATACATCTTCAGCGTCTGCTAGTCGATGTCTATCTGACATATTATACCCTGGAAAACCGAGAATGTTATTGAGGTATCATTATACATGTTCAGCGTCTGCCAGTCCGTGTCTATCTGACATATTATACTGTGGAAAACCGAGGATGATATTGATGTAAAATAATACATGTTTAGCGTGTACAACCCTGTGTACACTTGATAGTTCTCCATCTTATATGTTCTCTCCTCTTCTTATTTACGGACTTTAACGGATCCTGAATATCGGGTGGACTGAGGAATGCATACAAATGAAGAACGTTTGAACGCAACCTGGCCAGATACTCCTACACAAAACCCAATTAATAAGAGTGTGTTAGACTGGTATGCATGTTCAATCATAGGCGGCTTAATATGTTGCCTTATGTAATACTCTTCTTGCAAAATGAATCTATCCTGAGATATGTAGGTTGATGAACACGCATTGACATGCTACACAGTACCTAGCTATGTGGGGAATCTACCCAGCCTAATTCAGCCAACGCTTTAACCACTGGGCTGCGCCATGGCCTGTTGTGTTAGTATTTCGTGTATACATGCATGTGACATGTCTGAGCATGACTGTTTTGTCTCGAAGGGCGTTCAGTGCCATTTTGTCGAAAGCGTAGTATCACCACAGCTGGAAACAATATCACACCCGTAGCTGCACCACCATCGTGGCCCTGGCGTATGAACATGGCACGGGCATTAGCGGT